ACGCGCATCCTGGTTCTCACTGATAGCCATCACCCATCTTTGCTCATAGGGCTCGTGATTTAAGCAATATCGAGGCGATCTGCACTGGATGCACATATCCCTATAAGAGACTGATTAATTGGAGTCCTAAACATCAATGGAAAGATAAGAGTAAACAATACCGAGTGAATCACACTGGATACTTTTAAGATTATGTTCTAGCAAAATATTGACATAAATTATCCTACAATTTTGTAATGAATTATAGAAACATTTGAAAAAATACTGGATTTTTATACAAATAAGTTAAGGTTTTTATTAAAAATGAAATGATGCATAAAGAATGATTGAATTTAATATCACAATGCAAAGTGATAATTTATAGAAAATATATGGGATTAAATACCAAAGTGGAAGGAAATTGTATTTGCCCATGATCCGTGTGCGACATTAATCTGACAAATATATTTATGTACGGATAATAATATACTGGTAACATGTCAATAATTCTCGAATCGATTTAAACTAGACCATCATTGAAAACCTGAAAGTACTGGATGGCCATTTCCTCCTAATATGGAACTCCTCAGCAATATGCATCCACTATTCCACAAACTGGACTCGAATCCAAAACATTTGATCTTCTACGAGGACGCTTAACCTCTAACCTAAAGAACCGGCATCGATTGGTATTAGCGTCTAACTTCGATCGATCCATGATCTTGGGCAACCCTTCATCCATTATCTGAGCTAGTTAACTATTTCACACTCGAGAGAGATTGAACTCCACTGGTCACAGCTTCTCACTAGAACTTCAGGAAATCCATCTTGAAGTTAGTCACTAGTAAGCACATGATTATGATCAGTATGGAAATTTTTGAAGATTATAGTATTGTCACAGTTGAATTCACAAACACTAGTGAGAAATCCCAATACTGGAAGGAAGCGGTCATCCAATACTTCCAAATTTTCAATGATAATCTAGCTTAGATTGATTCATGAATTCAACATTGACAGCACTATAATCTTCATAAGTCTCCTTAATGATATATCAATAACTTTTAAAAATTTGATCATTTTCATTAATTTTCTTTAGTTAATTTACTTTTACTGAACTCTTTGCAAAACTCACTATTTCTTATTACATTGTGTAATATCATTACAATGAATTGGAACGATTGTGTGAAATTCACTTAGTGTTGTTTTACTTGTTATTTCGAACTACAATTGATCAGTCTCATGTTGGCATATGTGCATCCTGTGCGAATTGCTTCGATATAGCCTAAAGTCACAAGCTTTTTTAAGCAAAGATGGATAGTGGTTAGCAATGGAATCCAGGATGTGCGTTTCGCCTATTTGGGACTCGTCGGCTGGATTGTGTGAAATAAAGCATTTGAAAAAATGTATTTTAGGTTCAATCCATTAAAATAAACATTTAATCAACATTTTATTACTCAGTTATCCAGAGCAATAATAAGTTAGAAAGAATTTAAGTGTTCTAAAAGAAAGAAAAACCCTAGACACATTTGTCATAATAAAAAATGTTTTCATAGAAAACAATTTAATTGGACTAATTATTTAATGAAATACATTAGGAAAACTGTAATAAAACAGTAGAGATTGAGATTAGATTTCTCTAACTCAGGTTAGGTGGGGCCAAACCAAAACGTGGCATCAGTTCTTAAAGTTACTAACTTCTAGTCTTAGTCATGTTGGTAGATGTAGACTACTTGGTTGGGGTCTGCGTGACTATCGTAACCAATGGTTGGAGACTGTGGTTGATATGACTCAGAATTGATCACAATGGCTTATATGTATATACTCTATGTCTTCTCTTATACCGTGAGATTAAAATTACTTTATACCTTTGTTTTTACGAACTGATTCTTTCTTCCTCTATTATATCCTTATATGCAATCTTTCTTTTATATATTACTACTATCAAAGTAACTACTTCTACGAATTTGATGTTCATCTTGTTGTGATAATGAGTTATATCAACTTAAACCGATTCATATATGTACCTGGTCCTACGTTGTAGTTGACTGACTGACTGAACGCAGGTTATATTATTATTTTTAAATGTCGTTTAATTCATTTATAGCATAATTCTGTTTTTATTATTCACTATCTATTTGTGTTAAGTTTAGAGTGATTGTGTAATATAATCATCAGTCATAGTGTGGTGTGTGCTACTTATATTGATATAAGTAGTATATAACGCGAGTCAGGAATATAATATCTGGCAGCAGAAGATGGAGAAGATCAAGAAAGGAAGAGTGGGAATAGAAAGGATTTCCATAAAATGCAAGAACAACGAAGTTCGAGACAATTATTGAACATTTTGCAAATTAGGTATTATAGTATGGTTTTTCTATTTTTCCAAGTAACTCTGTAATTTTGTGCTAAATATATTTCGGTTGTCTTCATCTGTGTTCTCTTTACTACGATTGTATGTTGATTTTATTGTCTTAATATATTTGGTAGTGGATTTTGAGGTTTAAGAGCATATTAAAGAATTTTTTAATGTTTAAAACATGAAACATATTTAATACGCTTTTACAACAGGTTCATAACCTACCGTTGTGTTGAAAGAGGGAACATCATAATTGTCGGTATATTTTCCTTATGGCTTATTTATATACTAAAATTCATATATATTATACATATTATATGGTGTCGGAATGGTCAAAAACGTTTACAATTAAAAATAGTTGGAAACTGAATCCTATTCCAATACGTTTTGATATAATTTATGAATATGTATGTTAAAGCAGAACTCCCAGCAACGTTGTATATTTTAGGCTGATTTATGTATACTGTAAATTAACAAATGGTATAGAAGAAGGCTACTATTATTAGTCATTCATTAAAGATGAAGTTGTATCAAAAGTTACACTTCATGACATCGGGAAATTAATCGCAAAAGAAAACGTTTAACTTCCGATGATTTTTAACCAACTATGGTTAAAAACTTTAAAATTTGATAGGAAGTAAAAACAACGCTACTGTCTTATAACAAGACTATCAATAGATATAACATAATTGGGAGTCGATTCAAAGATACACGTTTCGTCCCACTTGGGACTCGTCAAGTGGATGTATCTGTATCTCAGTGTTGATATTCACAAAGGAATTCGAACCAAGTATCTTTCATTTCAAACCATTAATGGATTATTCCCTGAGCTACTGAGTTCAGACTGCCACTAACTTGTTCTAGTGAGAATATCAACCCAACGATGCATGTATATTTATCTTGCAAGTCCTAAATAGGAAGAAATAAGTTTCTGGAATTCCACTGCTAGCCACATTTTGTCTATTCCATGAAAACTGTCGAACTAACGTCTACATAAAGACAATCGTGCAGGATGTACATTTATTGATTAAGGAAGATGAAAATTCAATCAATAACATCGACAACAGGATAACTGAAAACTGTTTTTTTTTAACAATAGTGATGAGTTCATTTGTAACAAAAATTTTGAACAATCAAGAATTTCAAAAAATTAACCACTGAAGTTAAAGCTAGTTTATTTATTTTTCTAACCATTAGTAAATATTAGCCTAGAACACAAGATATTTATGGAGAAACAATATCTCTTCAAGTTAATTACCTAAATGTAGGATTGTTTGATTCAGTACCAGTTCATTTCACTCAGTATTAGTAATAATAGATCAGAATAACTGGTTGTTTATTGAATTATTTCTGAAAAAGATTAAAAAATAAACAATAGAGAGTATGAAAACATATATATATATATATATATATATATATATATATATATATATATATATATATATATAACAAAAACAACATTGTCAATTAATCAGAATGCTTGAATACTTCATAAGTATATACTAACAAAACTGTGATCACAGTATATGAATCATCCCATAATTTCTTACTTAAGTAATATTAAAAGTAATTGGAAGAAGAAGTAGAAGAAGAATCTTCATTGAAGTGTTTGTTATTTTGTCCCAAATAAATGTTGATTATATTTACTTTATTTGACAGTCAATGAAATCATCAAATACTAATGTATCGTCTCACTATTTCATTTCATATTATCGATCTTCGTTTTTTGTCTTTCTTTTTTCTTTAATAGACGGAATACACTCATTAAAACATTAAATAAGAAAGATTAGTTCAGCGAAGAGTTCTCTTTTCGGCGGATTCATTTTCAAAGCTGTACAATCGCAAATATATAAATACTTATTTTTACAGGATGATAATAATACTGATAATAAACTTCTGTCAAACATGGTAACAGTGAGGTTAAATAAAAAAGGTATTCAAAGTTTTTTTACAAATCAAGGAAAGTTTAATAATCGTTTGATTGTTAATGGCTTAAGTATTCATCAAAAAGTAGATAGGGAAATTATCATGATCATTCCGATTACATTTAATCTCTGTTTCAACATTTTATCTTATCATGCTGAGCCATCCTTTCCCAATGATAATTTCCCTATCTTTTGATGAATACTTAAGCCATTAACAATCAAACGATTATTAAACTTTCCTCGCTTTATAAAAATATTTTTTAATACCTTTGTTTGACCTCACTGTCACCATGTTTAACAGAACTTTGTTATCAGCATTATTATCATCCTGTAAAAATAAGTATACATATTTGTGATTGTACAGCTTTGAAAATGAATTCGCCGAAAAGAGAACTCTTCGCTGAACTAATCTTTTTTTAAAAAATTATTTCTCTTCTTCTGATAGATCAACTTTTATCGAAATGTATTCGAACTAATGAATATCACCATTCTTTTCCATATAAATATGAGTTTATTTAATAACAGCTATAATACTAATAATCATGTATTACTATTATTATTATTATTATTATCATGGTAATTATTCTAATAGGTAATAAAATGTGAATAGAATAGAATAAGTGATGGGCCAATCAATTTAAAAATTTATGTTTTGACCAATGAAAATAATGAAGAATTTATTTTACTGTCTTATATTAGTATTTATATTATATTTGAAAGACTAATGAGCTGTTGTTTACGCCTATCTTGACAACACTATCTATCTATCTATCTATCTATCTATCTATATATTTACAAGTGAAGAGAAGAAGTTTATTCGTTTTGTTATTTTAGCAAACAATTCATTTTTCTTTTTTTAATACTGTGGAAACTTTATAAATTGTTTCGATACAGATATATACATAATTATCATTCTATAAAATAATATTGTTACTAGGACACTTCAAAGTAATATCTCATCTCAATAATAATATACATATATATACATAACATAAGGTATGGCTGGTTATATTGCTAAACAACTTGTGGCAAAACCTTTAGACGCAGTTAAAAGTAAGATAATACATGTTTTGTTAATATGCCCATCTATAAAAACCTTTTTTTCTTAAATATTAGTTTAATGGTATTATAATTCAGTGACTATAAACAAAACTACCAGTAATGTAATTGTTACTACTAACTAAATTTATAGTAGGATAAAACATGATTGAATGATAAGAAATTCACCTGAATTTGAAAATATTGACAAGTAGATTTCAATTTAGTGGCTTAAAGATATCATGCTGATTATATAACTTGATATTCTTAGGTTTTAGTCTGTGTTTAGTAATGTGAGTCTACACTGATTTTGAAAATTAAACGAAAATGAAGTAGTTGTCCAGTTTCATTTATTCCCAAATAGTTGTTTGGTGGATGTTAGTTTCTGATGAGAATTCAGGAGTTCACTTATTCCTCAAGTAATTAAACTTAAAACCATTTATTTACTTGTTATTTATTTGATCAAATTATTTGTATATAAATTACCCGTTAAATCTTGATAAAGCAATCATGTCTATCGGGGTCTCTTTTTGGCCTATGGTAAGTCCTATTTATGTACGATTAACGAGTCTTCTAATACAATCAAAGGGAACTTGTGTAGACCGGATGTCTGTCAATTAGCAACACTTTAGCTTTCACAACCTACACTCTAATCGAAGAGATGAGACAGGTTAAGTTTATATTCTGTAAAAAAAGTCAAAAGTTAAAAAGGAATAGCTTTTGAGATGGTGAAGATTTGTAGCTCAGGTGGATGATTTTGGTGGAGTTTTGTTCTCTGAGCTGGATGGTTTGGTCATGGAGCTTTCTACTCGAAGTTTGTTTGAATCTTCCAATTGGTGTTTAGGACTGCGGGTAAATCCATCTGACGAGTCTCAAATAGGACGAACGGTGTGTCCTGAATTTCACTGCTATCCACTATCCATCTTTACTTATAATGCTTGTGAATGAAGGCAATATGGAATCAATACGTACAGGATACACATATGCCCAGACGAAACTGATCAACCACAGTTCTAAACATCAGTAGGAAGGTTCAAGTAAATAATACCAAGCGAATTTAAACGATAAGAAGTTTGATCATAATCTTATTGAAATTTATACATAATTCTATAGCAGAAAAAGATTTCACAAATGAATAAACCTTTTCTGTTTTAAATCAACCAATGCATTTAATTAACCGAATTAAAACGACCATTATGCTTCAGTGCTTTTTACATAAAATGAAAGAAAAGAATTAATTTGGGGAAGACTATGTAGACAATAGAAAAAAGAAACATTTTTAGTTAATGAAATAAAGTTTGGAATTTTACTATTCCAATTTTATCAACTAACGAGAGTTTGTAAAGGTTGTTGGATCAACATAATTTACACTACAAATTAATCTTGATTAAACAACCATTAAAAAAAAGAAAGCATTGGACAGTTGTCTGTGATATGAACTGTGAAATTTCTGCAGTCTATACAAACCACTTAAACGAGTATTGTTAATAGTAATGCACTCATTAGTGAGTAACTTTTAGATTTAGTTCCATGAGTTCTTGTAAGAAACCGTGACTAGTGAAGTTCGACCAGGTCTGGTATATGATAGATTTAGATTTTGAACAGTGATAGATAGTTTCAAAGCATTGAAGCACCCCATTGGATGCTGGCTTATTAGTCTAAAGATTAAGCGCTTACTACACGAGTGTAGGTCCTAGATTTGGTCTCAGCTATGAATTTGAAGAATCGCAAGACTGAGTCCTAAACCAAAGTGAAACAGCTGTTTACTGCTTTCTCGTATTCAGTTTTTGTGGTAGACTTTATCCTACATTAAAAATTATTTTGAAATGTTCATTTAAGAAAACGTTATCAGTTAATGAAACAACTTGATTTCTTAACTACTAACAACATTTTATGAAAGCTGTAAACTATGTGATTGTTATAACTGGTTATTAGTTGATTAGTGGTGTTTTTTTTCAAGATTATTTATCCCATAACATAAAGACAAATACACATATTATTTTACTGCATGAATTTGCTATTACCACAAACGTAACCGTTATCAAACTTTGGTCATTTTAACCGTTTATTTTAGAATAATGACCTGTAGATTACCATAATAAAATATATACGATGTTCGCTATGGAATTGTCTGTTCTATTTGTTCAAAACCATGAACTGCTTGATTATTATAACAAAAATAAATAAGAATTCTACACTCATCAATAATAGATTTCAAGATGAATTTTAGTTGTCTTAGTAAAAAAGTTCTTGACTTGTAAGTTAAGAATAAGATAGATGTTGTAAGATGATATTGAATAATCATCGTCTGATGTTATTTATTATTTATTTATTTCACCACATAAACATTGATACAAGGAGGCACCAAATAGACATGCGCTACATAAATCATTCGATTTGTGTGAGGGCTGGGATACTGCCTGGGTGCCCAGACCAAAGCTGGTGGTTTTCTTAGAGAGCCACACCCCGAGTCTTTAACCTTAAGGTCTGATCCACAAGGCAGTGGAGCATCGTGAGGAGATGCGATCCCATGGTAGCCGGTGACTGACGATTGGTTCATACGCCATTTAATCCCTCAGGATACTGAAACCCATGTGCACCATTGGTTTGGAATCAGGGTTTCCCAACTCCCCTAGGTGAATCCTCATTATTCACCAATCCGGTTGAAGCGCCGGACACTCACTTTTCGTCCTCTCAATTTTGTAAACAACAGTAATGCCACAAGAAGGCAGTGAGTAGGACTTCCCTGACAGAGGCTGTATACGCGTGGTCGTGTGAGAGTATTTCGAGAGGGGAGCGGATCCACCCTACTCTCGGCCATACCAGGGCATTTAGGGGCTCATCTGATGTATCAAGCTGATTAAAGACCAAAAACAATTGAACTTTAGTTTTATAGTTTAAAGATATAGTACTCATTGTTAGATTTTAGTAAAGATCTGAGCACTGTTCATAATTATTTGTGTACATACATCTTTACCTTTATAACATATAAACTATCTTATGAGAATGAATAGGGGTTTCAATGACTTACTTTCTTTCTCATTTCCATTCTCAGATCATATGTATGTATATATAACTTTGTAAATGATACTTATTCAATTGTAATAACTTTCAACATTTCACTTAGAAATTATGAATCAAAACTGTATCCATGATTATTGTTAGTCGACAGTTTACAATTGAATGTAACATTTTTACTACTTCTAGATATTTCTCATAGAGAAATGAAACATAAAAATTAAATTTTATATTATTATGTGTGATATTTTAAAACAACATTTATTCATCTAGAACGCTTTTCTTCTTTTTTTAAATATAAATACAAATTGTATCTAATTTCTAAGTGTAAAGTCAAATTTTATTAAGTGTGTGTGTTCTTTTTTTCAAATTTTCCATCAACAGGTATAAAAAATAAAATAAAAACTCGAAAAACCTAGAAGTACTGGACGGCTGTTTCGTTCTATTGTGGGACTCCTCAGAGGTGCGCACCCACGACTCCGTCTCGAGGGATTCGAATCTAGAATCCAGGACCTATCATTCTCGCAAGTGAGTGCTTAACCACTAGACCATTTAACTGACCAGCATCGAATGGTGTTAATATCTAATTTCAACTAATCCACAAAATTGAGCTACACATCCACCATTGTCATCAGTGAGTTACACTCTCACAACTGACCCGGTTGAACTCCACTGTTCACTGCTTCTCACTAAAACTCCAGGATATACATCTTGAAGCCAGTCACTAGTGAGCATATATTGATTAATATCAGAAGGGTTTTGTGGATATTATAGTAATTTCAATGGTTAAGATCATGAGTCAGTTGAAGCTAGGCCATCATGGAAAACCTGGAAGTACTGGACGGCCTTTTCGTCCTATTGTGGGACTCCTTAGCAGTGCGCATCCCTCCAGTGACCAATTGAGTTCAACCAGGTCTGTTGTGAGATTGTGACTCACTGATGACAATGGTGGCTGTGTAGCTCACTTTCGTGGATTAGTTGAAATTAGGTATTAACACCATTGGATGCTGGTCAGCTCAGTGGTTTAGTGGTTAAGCATTCGCTCGTGAGACTGATAGATTCTCAGTTGGAATCTCACGAGGCGTGATTGTGAATGCGCACTGCTGAAGATTCCTACAATAGGACGAAACGGTCGTCCAGTACTTCCAGGTTTTCAAGTTGTTCTATCTTTAATTAACTCATGATCTCAACTATTTACATAGTAATTATCAAGAAAATTCATTCAATAATTTATTTATTTATTTATATTAAAGACTCAATGGAATATTGTATAAATATGTCAGTTTTATTTGTTAATTGAACTAGAAATAAATTTTAATTTTTCATCATGACCTTCAATGAGAATTGAATATGATACACTTTCAGATCAATTTTTTTTTGTTCTAGTTTCATTTAAACAAACAAATAGTTCGAATAAAAAAGTAATTTCAAAAATAAACAGGCAACTGATATTTGATCCATGACAAAATGTTTTTGAATACAGGAAATTAGTGAATAAGAATAAATTAGGGTAAGATGTGACTGATCTGTTGTTCTTTTTTTTTCTTTCACATTAACTTTTTTATGTGTTTGTAAAACGAAATGGATAATAAATTCACTTGGTGTTGTTTTACTTATATCTTCCCATCGTTATTTAGGACTGCAATTGATCAGTCTCATGATGGCATATGTGTATCCTGTGCGGATTGCCTCGATATAGCCTTAAGTCACAAGCTTTTTGGATGATAACCTACTAAACTTGGAAACTACTGATGATCATTGAAATTAACTTTGAGATAAGTATATTAAGTTTTAGTGGAAAATCATAACTAGTCTAACTCACCAATATTGTGGAGGTGATTTGTATGATGTTGCATAATGTTATTGTGATTTTATGACTTATATAAAGTTAGATCTCCTAACCGTTGCAATTAAATCCTGAAATCAAAAGGTAAAAAACTCATCTGGAGACCTGACGGGAATTTATTTTGTTAACGTCAAGTTATCAGTATTTACAG